GGGACACATTATATTGCTTATCAAGAACTCCAGGTCTTAAGTGGTTAAATAAGAACATGCGTTTTGTTCGCAACACTCTTATTTTTTTGTAAAGAGTCAGAAGGCTAAACGGACTCACCACCAGTATGTCAACTTGTTTAGCATGCGTTTCTGCTCAGGTCTAAAGCTATTATTGGGTTTATGTATATGTGTGTGTAATACTATCAAATTCTAATGAAGTCTTAGTATCACCATCATACAGTATGACAGAAGACAAGATAGGAAAGGCAGCTTGCACCAGGCTACAGTACACACACACACACACACACACACACACACACACACACACACACACACCTTCACTGAAGCATAATGAGAGGAGACTTACACCTATTCTATTTTAGCAAGGCCTATTTCAAGATGCAGTCGAGCCACTTTATGAGCAGTGATAGAAGGTAGCCAAGTGACCTCTGACCTTTGGATATCTGGGTGACTAATAAAATCACTCTGGGAATGGTGGCGGGGGGGTTTCAAGGACAATACATGTCCAGCAGACATCCCTCTTCAAAAATGTCACTGTCATTATGCAACATGTCCTTCAAATGGGCCCTATTCTGCTCATGTTGTGCCTCTACTGGGACATGTCACTGCCTGTGCTGCAGCACCTCTTTTCACCGTCTGAAACCAGAGCCCAGTCTGCTCTGATTGGTTAGCCTGCCGGCTCTGTTGTGATTTGTCAACTGCTTAGAGATGTCCCTCCTCTTATCCTATCATGTACAATGTGTTGGAGCGCTAGCCAATGGAGACAAGGCAAGGCAAACAAGTATTACATAGTGATGAAACTATGTAACAGAAGTAAAGAAAGGAGTCCAATGGAGGCGTTCCAGACAGGGGGGGAGGAGTGTGTGGGACAGAAACTCCCTCTGGAGGGAGCTTTGGGATTTTATTTGTGAACTTGAACAAAGGATAATTTAATGTTTTTTTTTTATCAGATCCCAATACGTCCCCTTAATGGCTATTTAATACATAAGCAAGTCTGTTTTTAAAAGCTATTAACAACAAATATCAGCTTAGCCAGTTTAGCCTTTGGGGGACAGATTTGAAAGGGGGATATACTGTGTAGAGGGACTGCAGGCCAGATTCTAACCTGTGTATGCCACAACCAGGACAAAGCACCAGGAAATGGGCCTCCAGCACTACCAACTGAACTGATGATCCCCTCCAAACATCAGCTTTTAATTAAGAATATCAGGTGAATAGTTATTACAGTGATATAACCACAAGCTGACCATCCAACCCAGTCTCACGGCATTTCGTGTTCACCAACACGATTTTTAACCTATTGATTCGTGTTCACCAACACGATTTGCCCCTTTTTTTCGTGTTGCACAGCACGATTTTAAAAGCAATGTATTTCTATTGCCTGCAGCACGTCTTTTTCTCCGGTCGGGTCGAGGAAGACCTGAAGCTGTGTGGTTCATAAAAACATGTTCTTACTCAATATCAAGCCACAATTATTGCTTTTATTTTAAATCGTATAATTTCGGACTTTTGTTGCCGTCTGTGAGGAAAATAAATGGGGCTCAGAGCCTCAGAATACTGAAATCTGTATTTTTTAAATATTTTTTTCCTTCTAATTTGTTATTCTTTTCAAAATAACACACTGTTATTTACTCACCAATAACACACAATTATCCTTGCTTTTATTTATTGGTTTAATTCCATAATCTCGGGCTTTTTTGGCGTCCGTCAGGGACTGAATTTCAAAATAAAATATCCGGAAACAGACGTAGGACTATAAGGGACATTTCGAGCGTCATTGCGATTGTCAACCTTTCTGAGTTTAGGATGGCCGAAGACACTACACTACCCATAATCCCCAGCTATCGTTTAGGACTACAGTCCCCCGTAAGGTTACGCAGAGCGTCAAACAGCTGTGTGAAATGGAACGAAACCACGCCAGACTATCCAAAACTGGAATCGAACGCCCCCCCAGAACTACACATGCTGGCTATTGTGTTTCGCAAAATGTTCTATGGCACGTCTCTACTGAACGTTTTCGTTTTTCCCACAATTAGAAGTTGCCAGTATTAAACACATTGGCGTTATCAAATGTAAAACTATTATATATTATTTATTATAATTAATAAATGGGTGAAAATCGCTATATACTGTATACCCACATGACAGCTCATTGTTACTTTGTAATTCTACTCCACTACAATTCAGAGGTTAACCTGGTATTTTTACTCCACTGCATTTATTTGAGTTACTTTGCAGATTCTGATTAATTATGTGAAATATAAACAACCCTTAAATCAGACTTTAGTTACACCTGAGTAACATTCAGGTAAGGTGATTGTCAAGTGCCAACAATCAGGAGAGATATTTGATAGTTGGTGCTTGAGAAGACTAAACATGTATCTGCAATTGACATGAATGGAAACGAGTAATAAAGTATATTCATTACTCATTATTCTCTACTAATAGTTCATTAAAGACTGTATATTATGGCTATTTTTCACATCCCTTTCAAGATTTTCAAAGGTTTATTGACATATCATATACACAACTACGGTGTAGTTATGCAATGAATGAAACACTTGGGTCACAGGTTCCTCAACAGTGCATTACAAGACATCTATCAATATGTGTGTACCTCCACCATTAAACTGTCATATTCTGCACATTTCTTATTCTATCTACATACATAAGAGTATAATTCATATGTATAATATCAGTTAAAATAAGTGCTTCAACATAGTTAACATTGCAGGAAAGCAATATATTAGACGTTAAGTACTTTGTCAGGCTTAATATTTATCTGTAGATAGATACCCCCAACGTTTTTTTCTTATTTAAAAGAAGACCTTAATCTGTTATTTAATGTTTAAATAAAGGTTAATTCGTTTTTCTGTTTTGCACCTCCTCCTATTAATATCTTTGTACATTCTGCACTAAACTGTTTTATTGTAGAGATCACTTTATAGTATCTTCTTGATTTTTTATATTCTATATTTCTATATTTATACTTTCCCCCTATGAAAGTATGTACTCTTAATATTTTTTTAATCAAACACAATAATTCAATATCGTGCTTTAACCACTAGATGCACACAAGGTACACAAATGTTTTCCGGATTTCATATCATATAAACACCAAATCCCAGCATGCATTGCGGCTAAAACATCCAATAAACGAGCTTAAAACCATAGCTGAGGATCTTGGGTAATGCCTATGTCCGTGCTGTGCAACACGAAAAAAAGGGGCAAATCGTGTTGGGGAACACGAATCAATAGATTAAAAATCGTGTTGGTGAACACGAAATGCCGTGAGACTGGGTTAGACCATCCCAACTACTGCAGCTCTCTGGAAGGCCAGCAGGCTCCCTGCTATCTCTCAGGGCGTAGCAGTGCCTGTTATTATAGGGTGGCAGTGAAAGTATCACTTTGGTCGCAGAGTGACCACCGCTCCCTGAGCAGGAAGTCCATGCCTGCGGCTGCTGAGTCCAGGAATGTCCTGTACTCAACTCCCACAGGGCCTTCGGTTTCTCAGCAGCCACCATCTCACCACAAATGAATTCAGATACCAATTCCTCTCCTCCATTTCAAAACATGATATACTATTTACAACTCGGGCAGCAGGAAAACAGTGTGATACTGATCAGGGTTGATACGTGAGATAAACACTGTGCATCAGCAGACTTTGTATTTCTCCTACGTCGATATGATGCTTGGCTGTAACTTTGTGATGCATTAAAGAAACTAATCAATACTCCAAAAGCGTTTTAGTGTCAGGGTTTCTCAGTAAACATTCCAATAATGATTTACACTTTCATTTGACTTCAGTTTGACCCTATCGTGTGGGAGGTTTTAAGTGATGAAAGTGTGAAAAGGTCTTTAAACTCCATGAGGAAGCAGGGGGAAAAGGTGTCACGCAGAACAACAAAAGCAGCCTTGTTACGGAGGTCTGTGTGTGTGTGTGTGTGTGTGTGTGTGTGTGTGTGTGTGTGTGTGTGTGTGTGTGTGTGTGTGTGTGTGGGTGTGTGTGTGTGTGGGTGTGTGTGTGTGGGTGTGTGTGTGTGTGTGTGTGTGTGTGTGTGTCAAGAGGAGAGACACTTAAATACAATCCCAGCTTCTTCCTCTCAACCACATTAAAGAGCATGTCCACAGTCACATGCACAGTTTACAAGGAAGGTGAGGAGTGGTATGTCCCTAAAAATACATTTCTCAGACCCCAGAACACAAACAGCTATTGAAGAGAGCTCGTGCAGCCTGTTATTGAGGTGTGCTTGCTAGAAATTGACAAAACTATGCAAGCAATGCAGTGGTAATGGATCATAGGCAGCTACATGAATCTTGCAATTGAGTTACCTAAAATAAATTCTAATAATATATTCAATTGAGAGATTTCTTTCTTTCTTTCCGAATTAACAAGATTATCAGGGTTGTATCAGAATTCTGAGAAAAGTTTTCATGGTAAAAACAGGCTTCTTTATTTCCCCAGAAAATCTTTTCCCAGAATTCTGAGAAAATAATCTTGTTAAGTCGTAAAACAGGAAAAAAAAGTTCTGCCTTCTTTGTATAATAGACCCACAGACACTATATTTCTTTTCACTTTCACGAGTTCCCACCAAATCCTTCATCCATTGCCATCATAGATTTGGTAAGTTAAAGATGAAGCACTAACATGGCTTGAAGCTAAATGCTAATGCCAGGATGCTATGACGCATGCAATGCCAATGTTTACATTCTGTAAAGCAGGTATAATGTTCGCCATCTTAATATAGCATGCTCTAAAAATGCAACTTACCTAAACTCATGGACAAAAATAGAGAAAATGTCCAGTAATGTATTAATTACAGCTCAGTGTGTACATGTGTGTATGTTAGCAATCATTTCTGTGAGCCACGCGTTACCTAGTGAAGTATGTAGTATGTATGTATGTATGTATGTATGTAGTATGTAGCAGAGAATCTGTAGAGTGTAATGCATATTACATTGTATAATGATTCACGTACCGTCTGTGTTGTCCTCACAGTTCTGGTTGAAGTTTTCGTAGGAGTCCCAGCGGATCAGAGGGTCCTGAGTGTTGTAGTCAACCGAGACGCTCGGCCCGTTTTCAAGTTGATCCACACCTGGACCCGAAGTACAGAGAGGCAGAGCAGAACATGTGAATGTCTTTTAACCATAAGAGAGAAACATGTATTATACTCAGAATGTGAAGAAAGAAATATATATCCCGCCACATGATACAGTTAAGATACTGCAGATTTGTTTTATTGAAACTTTTCCCACTTTTTGCAGCATGTTTGATTTGTCCGATACTTTGTTCTGCGTTCAGAATAATAAATAACTCAGAGGACTGACAGTACTGTCACCTCAATGACAGTTGTTGAAGCGTGGCTTGCGTCATCCACATACTACTATACTGCCAGGCAAAAATGGTCTAAAAATATGAATAAAGGTGAAGTATGATATTTGTTAGTTGTTCCAAAATTGCACCTTGGCTCTTACCATGTAATTTCTCTGGTCCAAAGGAGAAAATAAACTCCACTTTCCCATATTCTGGAAACCTCTCATCTGCACACAATACATAAAAATGAACTCTTTGGTTAACAGCAAAGTTATGAAATTATTCATACATTATCGCAAACTCATTTGGGGCAAATAGGGCGGTTGTGGCTCAGGGGATAAATGGGTGTCAACCAACCAGGGGTCAGTGATTCGATCCCAAGGACCTGCTCCATCATTAAAGATATTAGAGTGTATTTCAGGTTATTTGAATAAAAGCATTAGCTAAATGACATGTGATGTCAATTGTATTGATATTCAAAGAACTCTATCCCTTACCTTTAAATGTCTCATCGAGCTCGTCCTTTCCAAACACAATCCCCAGGTCGTGCACGGCGCAGGTGTGAAACTGCACCCGGAATATCACGTCTCGGCACGGGCTGCGGTAACGCTTGTGGTAGCACTTCAACTGTGGGGTGAAAAACATCAGAGGGAACTCAAACCACACTGAATAGTAGCAGCAATGCAGAATCTAACAGACAACTTAATAACATTGGATTCCTTTTAAGTCCACAGGTACACTGAATATCAAATAAATAACCATTTCAGGATGAATTTACACAATGTGTCAAGTCTGATAAGGAAAACAAATCATTTCAGCAAAATCTAATCATTCTAAGGATTGAATAGCTGAGCAATATAAAACGATCCTTGTGAAACACGAGCCAGAGACATGCCAGCCTGATTCATAGTGGCTCTTTCTTTACACTGGCTCAGCGCTAGAGAAAGCATTTAAGACTTTTTTGATATATATATACAGTATATATCCCTCCTAATGTATGGCCTCTCCACTGGCATTACTGTCCAAACTGCAACACAAACGGCTTTAGGAGCAACACTAAAACCAGGAAAATATTCTCTCCCTCCTGCTGTTTCCTGTTGGGAAGCCTGGACCTTTTTTACAAGGACCTCACATTTACAGGTACTGGAGGAATACCCTTTAACGCAAACAACTTGCACCTCGCAAACTGCGGCTGTAAAAGTTGAAATAAATACCTGACATAATTATATAGACCTTACCATAAGTCAAAATGGAACTACATAAACACAGCAGCTAAAAACTCAATTGAAATATGATTTTGAGGAAAGTGGCACGTTGCTTTCCACATACTCTCTACTTGTGGGGCAAAACATATAAGTTCCAAAATCCACAAAAGCACATAAAGGATGGAGGGCGAGAGGAAGGCAAGCTAGAATATCCTGTGGCTTAGTGCAGCTTTCTGGGAATACCGCAAACCTCCCACTGAGGAACACAATGCTGTTGAGCCAAGACTGAGAACAATACATAGAAAGGAAAACATTAATTTGGAGCTTACATGTTGCCTTAGCAAAGGCGCTATGCTAACCAAACCTATTCAACCCTGATGTCTAGACAAATAATGTGCAATGTTGAATGAATAGTCTTACTTTTTAGATAAATTGCTTGAGCTAAAGCACTTTGAATTGCCTTGTGTTGAAAAGTGCTATATAAATAAACTTGCCTTGCCTTGCCTTGAGCTTATTTGCTCCATTACTGAGGAAAAGAGGAAAATAATGGTGCCTCTCTCTTACTGTTAATATGAATCTACAGCTAGCAGTTTTAGCTTAGCTTAGTATAGGCACAAGACTGGACACAGTGGGAAACAGCTAACCTGGCAAAATGTAGAACAAATATATTTCTTAGTATTCCTCAGCTTACTAATTAAGATGTTATATCTATAAAAAAAAAAGAAATCGTACCAACATTTACATTTTTATAGCAGGAAATCACTGCACGCAGGCAGGAAATAGTCCAGCACATAACGCCTCGTAAAACCATAACTTATTTTCATGGTTTGATTAATTAAATAAAACTGATATAATGTGATGATTAGAGAGCTTATTAGGTGTTGGTATAATGTTTTCCTTTTAATTATGGTCGCATGCAGGCTAATCGTTTTCTCATGTTATTGCTAGGCTAATTGTGCTGAGAAGATTGTTGCCTCTCTCAAAGCTACAGTCAACAGTTTGTTAGCTTGTTTGCACATTATATCTCATTATATACAATTTGTACCAAAAACGAGATATTGTTTTGTCAGGAAACCACTGCACCCTGCCAGGAAATAGTTCAGCTCACAACACCTCATACAAACACAACTTGTTATGTGTATTGTTTGTGTTTTGTAGTGATGAAACAAACCTGGTATATTGTGTGCATTAGAAAACGTTTGGTAGGGTGGGTTTTTGTGCTAGAAAAGGCTAAGTGTCTATTTACTGTAGAGGCATTAACATGGTGGTCTTCTCATCAAACTCCTAGCAAGGAAACACATTAGTTAATTTGCAAATACGTTGAGCTATTCCTATAAGCTCCTATTTGTGTTGCTGACTTCAAACTGAACTTTGAATTAAACTGACTTCCAGTGGCCAATGATGGAAGCAAAAAGCCAAACCTGAATAATTGAAATCATCTTTATAAAGATTTTCCTCTGAGGTTATCTTTATGTAATCTAACCATTCAGTAATTAGTCATATTATCCACAACTCATTTCAACAAACACATGCCAGAGCAGTTTTAAATGTAGGAGCACACTCCATGCTGAGTAATGTCTCTTCCATGTGGCCATCAGGCCACAGCTCACATTCTCCGTGTTATCTGAATCATTCCGAGCAGGGCTCAGTCTGATGATGCATTCAGCAGAATCCATTAGTGTGTCTTAAATAAAGGATGAGATATGAGCTCAGCTCTGAACAGCCTTGAGAATAATACAGTATGTGCTCCTTTAAAAATGATCCATGTTTAATGTATGGGCCCGGGGACATCTCATGGATAACGTTAAGGCCTGAATGACAGTAGAAGCAGAAACGTTGCCTATGTATGCAGTTCTTCTGCTTAAACAAATGCAAAATAAGCAACAGGCGCTACTTTATTTTGGATCTCTTTTACACAGTTCAAGGTTCAAGGTTCTTTATTAGTCATACAACCATAGCTACAAAGTAGTTATGTCGATGAAAATCTTAGGTCACAGGCTTCTCCAACAGTGCAACACAATATTACAGAGAAATATAGTGCAAGTAAATATTAAAAGTAAATGCAAAAAGAAAGGAATAGTTTAAAAAAAGTGAAATAAGAGTCTATATGCAAGCTATTGGAATGATATACTAGGTAAATGATAAATGATTACTAAGTAGCAGAATGTTATGGATTTGCTTATGACTTAAATTAAATATACATTTAAAAACGACTAAGATCTTAAAAGTCTATTAGACGCCCCAATGCTAAAACATGCCAACGGGGATACTTTACCATTAGATGATCAAATGTAATGGACCATTTACATAATTTAAATTACAGATTTCTCTCAGTTGTAAAACGGTTGGAAGCATGTTGGATAATGTACTTAACTTATTTTATCTAAAAATACACATCTGAAACACAACTTACTTATGATTATGTCATGTTTAAGTAAAACCCTGTGTAGCACTGCTGGAAAGGAAGTCTGTGCATAGCCTTTTTGACGTCATTGTTTCCAGCAAACATATTGTGTGCTAATGAGTCTATAAAATGAGGTACCAGTCAACGGTCTTCCCCTGAGATTTTATGGCCCTATTTCCTTTATGAATGGACACCATAAACTGCTGCAGCAGTATATTCACCCAATGTCAGAATGGAGAAAAAAAGTCAATTCCCTTTGTACTAAAAAATAATAAAATAGTGCATCATCTGTTCGTTTTTGCAGCTGTTTTCATACACAGATAATCATCATTTAACATCCATTTATTTGTATTTATAAGTAAGACAATAAACTTTCTGTTATTAGTTTCACATAAGAAAATAAGTGTTTTCAGTTTATTTTTTCCAAGTTGAAATGTAACAATGTGTTCTAAAAATCGTATATACTGTACAACTAAGATTTCCTTCTCTGTCTCTGTGTCTTGGCTTTTCTTACCAAGATGTCACCTTTCAGAAGAAGACCGGGTTCAATGGTGATACAGATGCTGGTCTGGCTGTCACCCAGAACATTACTGCAAAAGAAGAAACCACCACATGTTAAATAACACGCCTGCCTCCATCATTACTTCTGTAAAATGATCACAGTCTAATCCAGTGGTTCTCAAACTTTTTCTGTCAGGCCCCCCCTTTGGAGGAAAAAAAAAGTCGGGCCCCCCCAACACAAAGAGTCACGTAATGGGCCAAGTTAACATTTATTAAAATACATCAATATGAATGTGAGCATTCCTTTCAAAAAAATGTAAAAATGACTTTGCTAGAACAGTGATAATAAAACAATGCTCCATAAATCTGTGTGCTCAAAACAATAAATAGATAATACAATTGTGCAATCCCTTTGCTAGAACAATCAATTATAATACTTTGCCAATTTGCAATCTGTGCAAAAAAATGAAAAGAAAGAACAGGGTTGCAGGCTCAGTGGCGGCGCCAGAGATTTCTTTTGGGGGTGCTGTGGGGTAGCTTGACGTTTCATAGAGGGTGTTCAAACATTTAGGGTTTCCCATTAAGGTACCGGGCGCTACAGTTGAATTTTCTACTGCAGCACTCCCCCCGCATATACACAATGTACCCGCGACTGTTACAATGAAGGCTCGATAATCAGTTCACGGCATATAGGTGTAAGCAGGGATAAAGTGCTATTTTTATTAGTGGGGAGTGGCCCTCACATAGTGGGGTCCGGGGGCATGCTCCCCCGGGAAGATTTATTTTTAAATATTGAAGTTAAAAGCATCAATCTGGTGCACTTTGAGAGCAACATGAAGAGATCTATGGATACATCTCTCAACACCCATGAAACAGAACTGTAAACAGATTTACTTTTTAAAGATAGCTGCAGATTTTATTGCTCCACCTCTTACTACTCTTTTTAACCTCTCCCTCAGCACGAACAAAATCCCAAAAGTATGGAAGTCAGCTTATGTCCTGCCACTACTAAAAGGAGGGGAGGCCACCTTATTAAACAATTATAGACCCATCTCTAAATTGTCAGTTCTGGCCAAGGTTCTTGAACGCTTAGTGAGTGAACAAGTAAAGGAGTTTTTATGTAACAATGACATCCTGTCTAAACATCAGTCAGGCTTCAGAAAACAACATGGCACCATCACTGCCACAATGAAAGTGGTGAATGATGTGGCGAGTATTTGAGATAATAAGCAGAGTTGTGCAGCTCTATTTGTTGACCTATCCAAAGCTTTTGATACTGTCGATCATTGCATTTTGAAGCAAAGGCTGGTCAGTATAGGCATGTCCAGCCATGCAGTGGGGTGGTTTGTAAACTACCTCTCTGAAAGATCCCAATGTGTTCAGTTTGATGGGCTGTCTTCTGAGTGGTTAAACATCACTAATGGTGTACCACAAGGTTCAGTTTTAGGTCCGCTATTATTCTCTATCTATATTAATAGTTTAGGTGAAAATGTCGAAGGAGCAACCTTACATTTTTATGCGGACGATGCCGTTATGTACTGTGCAGGTCCCTCGATTAACGAGGCTGTTGTTAAATTACAGGCTGTTTTTAACATTATTCAGGCTCAGCTTTCTGAGCTTAAGCTTCTTTTAAATGTGGATAAAACCAAGGTAATGCTATTTTCTAAAGCTAAAGCTAAAAATACACCAGAGACTGCTTTGGATATTGTAACTACGCAAGAAATACAACTTGAAGTGGTTACCTGTTACAAATACTTGGGTATCTGGCTTGATGACTGTCTCACTTTTAAACTTCATGTCAATAACCTGCTTAAAAAGCTGAGGGTTAGGCTAGGTTTCTTTTACAGAAATAAGTCCTGTTTCTCGCTTGAGGCCAGGAAAAGGCTAGTCACTGTGACCTTTTTACCTGTGCTGGATTATGGTGATTTGTTATATATGAATGCACCTTCCAATTACCTGAGCAAGTTAGATGCTGCGTATCACAGTGCACTGAGATTTTTGACAAATTGTAAAGCACTCACGCATCACTGTACCCTGTATACCAAGGCGGTTATGCCATCACTTACTGTACGGAGGCTCAGTCACTGGTACTTTTTCATTTACAAAGCCATGTTGGATAAACTACCATCTTATATCTGCTCCCTGATCTCTCTGCGTATTGAAAGTACTTATTGCCTGAGATCGCATGCTGTGGTTTTATTAAATGTGCCAAGTGCTAGGACTGTCTTAGGGAAGAAAGCTTTTAGATGTGCAGCTCCACTAACATGGAACAGTCTGCAAAAAGAATGGAAAATTACCAAGCTAGTACCACTACATGTTTTTAAAGCTCGGTTGGATGCTACAAAATCAGATGCTGTTGGTACCTGTACTTGTGGTTAAATATGTAAATTGTAATCCCTGTACATTTTGCTGTATGATGTCCTTTTGTTGTTCTGTTGTTTATGTCTTCTTGTGGAACCTACTGCTGCAGGTCTCCCTTGAAAAAGAGATCATTGATCTCAATGGGATTTTACCTGGATAAATAAAGGTTTTGAATTGAATTGAATTGAATGGATATTTTATAAATCACCCTTTTAATCTTTTTTTACTGTCATATAGTATTTCAAACCTGTTTTTCATTTTTTTATTTTTTTACAACTATAATGATCATATAAACGTGTGCTTTGGAAATAATTGTTTACATTAATGGTGACCAAACCGTTTGAGACCCACTGAGATAACTTAGACTAAGGCCCCGGCCACACGAGGACGAAAACGGCTAAACGCATAGGATTAATGCAAACGCAATCGCAAAAAAGCTTGCGTCCACACGCAATATTCACCGGATAGTGTCTGTCCACACGAGACAGCTCCGTTTATCTCCAACCGCTGGAGAAGCTGCAGTACATATGCCGAGCCTGTACGTGGCGCTGTAACTTCCTCCACAAAAGCAGCGAAGAAGCATGGTTGTCATGGTTGCCCTTCTGTTTATTCTCCGCGGTGGGGGCCAAGGGAACCGGGCAGAGTTTCTCGCCAGTCAACGTGTATTAAAGTTTAAATCTTCCGACAAAATTATAAAAGTGCCGGTCAAAGGTCTTCTTTGTTATTTATTGAGCTTTAAAACAAATGAATAACGACTCTATATAATATAATAATAAAATACATGGAGCCTCTCTTTTTCCTCCCTCTCTTTGGACAGCGCCAGTGTCTGTTTCATGCAGCAGCTGATCCAGTAAGGAGTGACCCGGCCGACAGTAAAAATAAACATATTTATAACTAGTTTAGGTAGTTTGAGAGGTGTCTCCGTCCTGTCAGATTAGACTTCACTCGCGTTTAGGTCCATATCGAGAGAAAGATAAATAATCTGAATTCAGTGTGCAGTTTGCTTTGACGCTGGGGTGAGCAGCAGAGGTGGGGAGAGGCAGGGCTATTGCCTCATCATTATCAGAAAATGATCGTATAAGGCAGGGGTGCCCAACCTTTTTTGAACCGAGAGCTACTTTTAAAGTTGCCAGTCTGCCGAGATCTACCAGTCCAAATAGAGAGGCGTAGCCATTACTGACAGCCTACTACCAGGTAAATACACACTTCTACTTGTATAAAACTGCCATTATATAAAAAATAGTGTTGCTACAAAAGTATAAATTAGGCTTACTAATAAGACAACTCAGATCTGAAGCTACACAATAAAAAAGACAAAATTAATAGAATCAAACATGTTGCATTTTAGTGGATTATAAAAAGAAATGCCTTTAAAATAGGATTCAAGCAACACTAGTTTCTTAACCTGAATTGATAATAGACTATAATCAATTTAAGTTTGCATTCTTATACCATTGTGTACAATAATTATAACTAATAAGTTCAAACAAACTCAAACTTACAGCTGATTAATAACGGTATCTAACTTGAGTTTTTATCATATCAAAAACCTGTTGAAATGCTACTGTTATTTTTACTGTCCCCCAAAAGCGCGTCGGCAGCCTCCAGGAATGCTTCTTTCACAACGTCGCCGTCTTTGAAAGACTTCATGTTTTTCGCAAGAACGTGACTGACACGATAAGATGCTATGGTAGCAGCCTTGCTCTTGTTGTTGGGCCTGGTGAAAATGGACTTCTGTGCATTTAGCTATCCTTTCAGGTCCCTCCCCTTTTGGGAGCGTAGGGCAGAATTAGGAGGGAATTCCGTCTCGTAGCGTTTGTGCACTGTTTTGAAATGCCGCTCCTAAATTACCCTTCTTCGATAAAGCCACGCTCGCATTGCAGATGAGACAGATGGACTTTGAATTGGAATAGATACAAAAATAATCATCCTCCCACTCGGAGTGAAAATTATATATGTTTTGATTCTGCCATAATTGCGGTCTTGTGTGTGTGCGGACTGTCACTCCTGTGTGTTGACACGGACTGGACAACGTTAGCGAACTAGTGCACTGCCCACTGCCCACCAGCCACGCCCCGACACATGGGGTCACGCCGGCCAATCACAAAGCTTTGATGCGTTCAAGTGCATTATTCTGGCACAGGAAGATTATGTTATAGGACATTAACGATAAAATTGAATATTGTTGTTCTATTTTTAGACACATCTCGCGATCGACTGGGAATCTCTCCGCGATCGACCGGTCGATCGCGATCGACTGGTTGGGCACCCCTGGTATAGGGCGTACACACGGAGCCGTCGGAACCCCCAGAGCGTTGCGTATGCCGTTCTATCCACCTTGGGACCCGTTATCGTTTCCGCAGTCGTTTAGTGCCGTATTCGGTCGTCCTCGTGTGGCCGAACGGTCTATATGACACTAAACAGTAACGCAAACGACCGTTTTCGTCCTCGTGTGGCTGGGGCCTTAAGTTAACTATCTAAACACTCAGAGAGTCCTTTAGTTCACTGAGCCTCTCTGACAGGAGAGGACTCTCTTCCACCTTGTTGTTGAAAAAGCTCCTTATATCCGTTAGCGTAGCTCGCTAGCACCAGAAGCTAACAACAACGATCTCCGGTACCGGTGCTCTCTCTCTCTCGCTCGCGCGCGCACACACAAAATGGCTCGTTCCACACACACACACACACACACACACACACACAGAGCCGAGCTTGAATGAAACACAGAGACCCAGAAGTAATTGTACTGTATCATATTATTTTCAAATCAATTATTTTTCAAATTATGATTTTTATTTTTTTTTAATAACCGTTTTTCCTCCTGGTCTCTCGCCTGTCTCCTTGTCATGCCTCTGCACCTCCTAGGTTTTGAGAAACACCGGTCTAATCCAACATAACTCTGCTACATCATTTTCTTTTTGATGTTACTTGTCTGGGTATAACTATGTTCACATGATCTCCATCGTCTACTAACAATCAGATATATGCTTGAACAGTGGCCATCACAGGGCGTAGCAGCGCTTGGCTAATTTTGGGTATTAGTGTCTACATGAGGAGAGAGGGATCAAAGGGTAGAGGGTGCTAATAGAGAGCATGTGAGAGAAAGGGGGGAGGAATGTGATTTGGGGCTCTAAGCGGTCGACAGTCTGGAAATGTATGCGCACTAATGTCACACTTAGTTAGGTGTATGCTGTAAATGTGTGTATGTATTAACGCTAGACATGTTCCACACAAGCAGGCTTCACTGTTTACAGTTACAATTTTAACAACGTTTCAGAAAAGCTGCACCCTTAAACTCAGAGGGCAAAAGCAAGGATAGGGTAAAAGGCAGGAGATAGGGATTAGGGAATTTAATACCAAATTGGTATGGGTAATGTTAAACGTGTCTTTTTTACGAAACATTTACAAAGGATTATTAAGAACTCTCGGTTATCTGAAGCATTTTAGCATCTTTTAGCTAACTGTTTTGGTTTCTCGCCTACAAACTCTGCCCTCACTTTCAAGCATGAAAGCTCTGATAAACACTCTGTATGTTACTTGTACAGTATCAAATGACAGACAAATATTTAATCTAGCATTCTAGCAGATTAACTCACTGGATATTTAGCAGATAAATAGCAAGTTGTGACCCAAAGTAGTAGGAGGAGACCAAAACAGAGCTTAAAGGCCAGTTGATATTGGACTTATATTAATCGAATGGACAGAAACAAACCTCTAAATAAAGTTATTTAGTTGGCAAACACATTAGGCATTCAAACTTCTTAAAGTGATAATATATAAATGCTTTTTGCTCTGTCCCCAAGGTTAGGGTCCCTTCACAACAAACCACACTCTGCAGAGATTAGTGATGGATTGTGCGGAGGTCTGAGAGTGTCATTTAAATAATGGCCAAATAACACAAGTTACTTAATGACAATTAACATTTGTGTACTCCCTCATTGCAGGGTTGTACAGCTCTGGATTGCCGGTTACGGGATTGTCCAATGCAAGCTTTCTATGAGTGCTGGTGCTTTCACTAAAGCACCTGATTTGGCATTAAAGCTTTATATCATTGTTCATGAACAGTTTTGTTAAAAGGTCCCGGTGCTCTCAGAGCTGCAGTAGGTGACACAATATGAATCTTATTGGTTAATGTATTAAGTTGTTAAAGTTTAAAATACTAGGGAGGTGTACAAATTGCATTTTTAGCTACAGTATGGAAACGGCATGGTCTGAACTCTGCATGCATGTGTTTCCTATAAGAACAAGCACACTATGCACCACGATAAAACAGTCTGTCTGTTATGTGTTAAATGCTTTTAAATGTGGTATCACTGTGACCTGTGCCTCATTCATCTGAGGGCAGCGCTCCCCTGCTATCCTCTCCTTAACCTCCACTCTTCCCAAAACAACAACAGAAAAATCATAGAAACCATTATTTCCTGTCTGGCTCTGGGAACCAGAACCAACATACCTGAGCAAGGTCCTTTTGGCAGTCATACCCTGCAGGCGTCCACACGGATGCCTGTCTAACTGTTTAATTGGCTCTCCGGTCACAAATAACACTAGAAGTGACTGCGGGATCTAACGTAGGGAAACAAGAGCCTGCAGCTGGGGAGGCTAGCTAAACACAATAATGTGAGGCAAGCATAGAGTATAAACTGGCAGGGGTGACGGTGAATGTGGATATTGGGGGGAAGGGAGTAAAGGGAGAGGCTATAAAGGAAAATCTGTTTTTTTTTATGATTGAGCCACCACGAGCTAGCTACCCCTGGAATCTTGTAAAAGCATTTGAGTGAGAGTGTGTTTTAAGACTTACTAAATCCCAGATGTGTACACGGGCTGCATGGCCTGGTAGATCTTGAGAAAAGGACGACAACCTGCAAAACCATTTTTTGAAAAAGTTACAAAATGAAGAAGTTTATGTGAAGTTGCTTATGTGTGAGAGCATTTCTGCACTAACCTCCTTTGGACTCGAAGTTTGGGATGCCGTGCAGGATCACATGGTGAAGGAACAGGGGTTTGTTGTTGATCTTGATATGTCCAGAGAGCAAGCCACTGAAGTACTCCACATACCTGAGCAAGATAAATAAAGAGAGAACTCCAATTATAATTGCTATGTTTACAATAAAGGGATAAAGGTATGATTCTGACGCAGTATTTGTCCCTCAACTCTCGCAACAACAATACATGTTTTTAGCCATGCTAAATAAGTCAACCTTCTACCTTGTTTTTATTCTATTACATATTTGTTTTATACTCAATGAGTGTTGGTAGTGACCAACCCGCAGATATTACATTCCCAGCCCAGCACCAAACAGCAGACAGATACATTCAACAACAAGTCAGACAAATTAACATCATATTCAAATCCAAAACCCAGCTTTAAATATGTGTAGGTTTAAAAAGACACAGGGTTTTTGAAAGAGACATTTCACTGGGGTCAAACTCATACAATAAACAACAGACCTTTTCTGGGATGGCTGGCCCACAGGAAGCACTTTGTCTTCATAGAAGCGCTTCATGGCAAACCTGTCCAGAGCCTGGTCAGCACTGCATTCAAACAGAGAGGTTATTTCAAAAAAGAACTTTTATTTCCACTGGAGTATAAGCAATGTAAATCCACGGTATTTCGGAATGTGATCAAAGTAAATTTGATGTTACTTGTACTTTTCTTGAGTATTGCCTCTTTATGCTACTTGATACTTCTACTCCACTACAATTTCAAAGCAAATATTGTACTCAATACTCTTATCTAACAGATTATTAGCTAATGCAAAATATAAATCAACCAACAAATGAACTATGTTAAGTAATGACTTAACTTAATACATTCAGCAGCAGTATCCAAAATAAATAAAACTAGCTCTACCTTTGATGGCGTAATGAACACATTAATGCATCAATAATCATAATCCAGTAACTAAAGGGACATCATTCTGAAATGGACTATTTTGTGTAGTGAATACACATCTTAAGATCTTGCAGACTAAATTACACTCAGTGTTTATTTCTAACAGCTAATTCTGCATAACCTCCGTAACCTAGCACACAGTAAAACACCTTATTGCCATTTTTTTACGTAACATTTATATTCCCATACGGCAAATGTCACAGTGGTTTCATGTTCTGGCTTTTTGCTGCTACTTCAGTTTTCACAGCTACTTCACGCCAGCTTTAAAACGATTTGTGAGGTAATGAGTTTAAAGAGAAATGTAATACTTTTGCAGGGCACAGAGTGCGTTTCATTTGTTCCTGGCGTTCTTTCTGAGGCGACACCGAGTCATGTGTTCCTTCTGATCATTTAATAATTCACATCTCTTTGGTTTATGTAAGAGAAAGCCATCCTATCTATGAGATCTAAAATCAAATCCTATAAAGAAAAAGTGGGCACTTATAATTCGAGTCTTGTGATTTGGTGAGAAGCTAACTCATTGCTTTCTGCTTATAATTACAATATCAAATTGTTTTCCAAATAAAAATGCTGTTGCCCGATCTCATGTTCTGCCCCTCATTCTTGTGTTTATCACATCTCCGTCTGTTCCAATGTGTGCTTCGGTCTTGTGATGAACAATGCTGCTTCATTTAGTTTTTCCTCTCGTGTCCCTATTCTACTGGTGTACTTCTCCTTTACTATTTGCGCTATTTCTGTATGACTTCAACTCCTCTCTCTCTCAGTGCTACACAGTTCCTCTCTGCAGGTGTAGTATGGATCATAGACCTACCTGGCAGATATGTTGCTGTAATGCATGTAGGCGGCCACCACCACTCCTGTTCTGCCCCGGTTGCCCTGAAAAGACATAAATCAAGCCAGAGTCAACCACAGATGTATCCTCCAGGCAATGATGCTCTGCCTCCTCGAGTAATTGTTCCACATCATCAGCATTTCGGTTGATGGGGTTATAGGGTCGTTTTATTCTGCAATGCAAAAATGCAAGATCCGAACCCAAATCAGATAGTAGTGTCATCACCGAAACACACACACAAAGTTAGAAGCTGCACTCAAAAATAAATCTTTAGCAGGTACAATGTCAGAGGTGTAAAGTAATTAAGTACATTCACTCAAGTTTGAGATACTTGCACTTTCTCGAGTATTTCTATTTAATGCTATTTCATACTTCTACACCACTATAATTCAGAAGTGAATGGTGTACTTCTACTCCACTAAATGTATTTATTACCTTTAGTTACTTTACAGATGTGGATGAATGATGTGAAATATAATCAAGTGTTGAATCAGACTTTAGTTCCACCTGGAGTAAATCCACCAGCTACCCTGCAGTATACAAAGTCATTCAAACTAGCTGCACCTTTACCAGCTTTGAGAACACTTTCATGATCAATCATTATAAAACATATCATATATTATTCTGAAATGGACAAATCTGCTCAACGACTACTTTTACTTTTGGTACTTTATATTGATGCTAACACGTTTCTACTTTTATTTGAGTAACATTTAGAATGCAGGGCTTTTACTTGTAACAGAGTATTTCTACACTCTTGTACTTGTACTTTTACTCTTTAAGTAAAAGGACTTCGTACTTCTCCCTTCTCTGTACAATGTTAGCAAAGCCATGGTCAATCCAAACTCCATTCAGAAAACAATCATGTTCAAAGTGCTTTGCTTCTTGTCTTGCAGATAGAAATGAAAAGTCTGGTCTTCAAACTTTTTAGAAATGGGCATCATGATGGAGTTATTTTATCTTCCTTTTAATAACGTGTTTTCCTTTACAGCACATCAGCGTCTGCTCAGATTGGGTTCATACCAGATTTATTCAGCTCCTGAAGTAAGAAGAATAAATATAAAATATCCTGGGGTCAACCTCTTAAATTGCACCATAATATGTTTCCCATAATGCAACATGTAATCATCTTTTTGTTGAGCCTCTGATGCCTGGTAAATGTCCACAACTCAATTCAAACTACATATTTGCAGTTTGTAACTTTCTGCTATAAAGTGTAACATACAGAATCCCAGGCCAAGCCGATGACATCATCTGGGCTTTTATTCAGACTTTGGAGACCTCCTCACAAACCACAGAAGACATTACACACTGTTGTTCCAGGCTAAACATTACCCCTGAAGACCTGTAGACTGACTGTAACACTGGTGAAGTACCTCTTTTAAGACTTGCTTTCATTAGTAGTATTTCAATTAAATATGCAACTACTCATGTTATAAAAATATACTGCCTGGGCATTTAATGGGTGGTTTACCAAGCCCAAGCACATGTTTCTATGGCAACAAACCAGTCTCGGGTGGCAATTATTTTTCCTGTCCATCAACCATGAAGGGCCACTGTGGAGGATAAAGGTCGCTGAGAGGAGCCCAGTGGAAATGATGTGTTGATATGTGAATCCCCAACTGCTTCCTTAGTGACCAACACAACCTCCGAGCTCGCACCCATCAACAGCATTACGCAACTGGCAGTAAAACAACAGCGGTTGTTATGGCAGCCGACTTGTTTGTCCCTGTGGGAATGAGGCACTGATCCCATGGTTCATTCTCAAGTTGCAAAACAGAATCAGAAACAGAGGGGATAACGTGAAAAGGATCGGGCATTACGTTAGGGACCTCGGTCGAGTGGTTTAATTTGGATACACTTTTTATGGTTTGCATAATTAGGAGCCAGATGAGGGCGGTTCGCCACAAGAGTATAGTGTGATGCAAGAGAAACAGGAAAGTAATGGTCAATTCTGTTTTAACGGTATTGTTACGAGTAAAAGGGTAAACAAACACGAGCAGCCATGATGAGTGGCGAGCCTCACCTCCCTAATTTGTGTTTTCCTAAGCCTGAACAAGCACACAAAGACACACACTCTCACACACAAACACTCCACCCTGAATGTCAGCGTTGCACTCTTTACACACGAAAACACACACCACAGCTGCAGCCTCAGGAAAATGGGTGTCCTGAGAGGAGCCTGAGAGCACCCTCTGCCGACTGAAAGACCCTCCTCACAGCAGCGGCCCCTCGTCTCTCACCTTGTTGTGTATCACCACCACGTTGTGGCTGTCTGCACTCAGCCACGTGTCCATGGCTTTGCAGATGCTGCAGATTTTGTCCAGAGCTGGAGCGTGGTGGTCCGGCCAGCCAAAGTCCAACACCTGAGAGAGGGGGGAGGGAGATGTTCAGTCAGATTGATTGTCATATCAAGTGAAGAGAAGAGAAGGGAAGAGAAGAGAAATTCACTCTACCTTTGGATTAAGTTGGCTGATGTCATAACGCTTCTCACTGAGGTTGAAGAGCTAAACAAGAAGAACAAGGTAGACACCATTATTACAAATCTTTGGCATTTTCATTGTACAGACTTCAACAACCAATACAACCATGTAAGTCATTTGTTACAACCATGTCATACCACCTACAGGAGTGTTTTTGAAATGATAACCCCGACTGGAGTGAAGCAATGACCTGCTAGCAGTCACCGTTTTGTAGTGCACCAATATGTCCTGGTTAGCTACACGAAACCATCCTGAATCTGACTAACATTTTGGTTACAGAACTTACGTAGTCAAAGGGATCCATTTTAGACAAGTTTTGTTCACCGTTTAAAGTTTCCAAATCATTTTGTTTTACACCAGCCTGTTCTTAAAGTCAATGTTTACTTGAATTTTGATCCAAAACCAAAATAAAGTAACAAATGCACTTATTTATAACCACACTATGATGTTTACTTGATACTTTTTTAAAAAAGTAATTTGTTTATTTGTGGTTTTTTTCCAATGCCGTTTACTTGCATGGGAGAATCATTTTGTAGCAGACAGGGTCGTTTACACACATACACACTAGGTTTCAAATGACACACTAATACAGCAGGAATGTTTCACACCCTGTTCAGAGAGTAAAAGTGTTTAACAGTATCAAATAGCCGCGTCAGTGGCTTGAATCCAAGAATATATCTTAGGGCTGTGCGTTTGTGTCGTAAGTTTTACCTTGACTGTAAAAGCAGTTATCAACAGTAACAAAAGATAGTAACAACAGCATCAGATGAACAGATCTGTACACACTTGCAGATAACAAAGATAGCTCAGATGTTGGGTCTAAAAGAGATCAGCTGTGTCCAGCTCTAATGACTCGAAGATAATCGCTGTTTTCCTGCCTGAATTATGCGTATGCAGGAGGAGACATGAAGAAAGTGTACCAGGTAGTTGTGTCCGTGTTTGGAGCGCAGCATGGAGGCGACCTCCCGCAGGTTGGCGGCGTAGCTCTGCTCCTCCACGCTGCTGGGGAAGGACACGGAGATGATCCTCTCTGTGATGTACAGCAGGTCCAGCTCATAGTTCTCCTCCAGGGCCTGCAGCAGACTCACACTCCTGGCAGAGGAACCACAGACGCAACTATCATCAACGTGGGTAATGGTGAGGGCTCACACAGCAATGGGGCCAATCCATGCAGAAAAACAGAACTGAGGTGGACTGCTGGACCGCTAAAGATCTGAAGGGAGGAATGAAGTAGCCAGAAGTAATGCTGCACGTGAGCTCATAACACCTGCTGGTGCATGATCACTTTGACTATTTGATACCCGTAACAAGAGAACCGGAGGGTCTAATGTTTGTGAGTTTCGGTTTAATGTGATGGATGCCTTTTTCAGTTTTCTATAGCCTTCATCACAGGCCTTCCTCGACCTCACTTGATGTTAGTTCCTTAGACTCTTTTTCTGATCTTCAATCCACTTGTGGACATATCCGTTGTGACTCTGCAGACTGTTTACATGCATAAAAAGCCACATAACAAACAAGGGGACGGGTAATAACCAGAAAAGCATATGATGGGACCTTTAATATAATTCACAAAAGCAGTAAGACTACTGTATATGAAGTATCAAATTGGCATAGTTGGGAGCCAATGCTATTACCATGTTAACAGAAAGATAATATACTGGATAATACTTATGGAACAGCCTGCACATGTGTATTGAACAAAGCAAAGTACGGCAAACTATATGTGTGCGATAGTTTCTCAAAAATACAAAACGAAGCTCCTGTTTCCTCATGAGTAGGAAGGCAATGTGTATCTTCTATAAAGACTAGGAATGACAGAATGTCAATTCATCCAGTGCCAATTGCTGAAGATGTTCAGTTATGAATAGTGCAATTTAGTGAAAGCTATTTAGTGAAAAGCTATTTATGTAACTGTGTTTAAACTGCATCATGTAAATTGCGCTGACAGAGGTCCACAGCTTCCCCGCAGCGAGGCCCCCCCCTCGCCCTCTAGTTGACAGTTCACGAGCACCCCCCCTGGGCTGCTTACATCACCGGGTACACTGAGGTCCTGAATGTTCTCAATGCAGCCAATTACCCTTCAGATACACACAACACAACACTGAACCTCTACAAGAAACAAATATCCTAATAAGGATAAGGCAACGCAGCATATAAATACCCAATCCCCGATGGCATCACTCAATCCCAGAGGGAAAAGAACATGTTCTTCTTCTGTATTAAACACATGTTGTGTTGTTAGATGTGGGAAAGAGGGGAAATAGAGCGAGGGGAAATTGATTAAACATGGAGGATTGTGAAAATATTGCAGCATACCAAAGATTACAGTACGTAGGCTCCAAAACCAACAATCTGATGGTTATTGGTGGAGTTGGTCTGGTGTGAAATCGGGTCAGAAAGAAAGTAGTCCTTGCCTCGATCGATCTGTAATTAAGCTTTTACTTAAAACAGAAAATGACCACGCAGAAAGACCTGCAGCGTGGTCAGTAAAGCTTTCCAACTGACTGCATAAGAGTCCAAAAATCCAATACTTATCTCATTATCTTCAATAAAGACATTACTCTAGAGAATTGTTGGAGCTATGAAACATGGCTTGTTGATGGGAAAATAGTTTAACACAAAGATAGCTTTATATACATTTAATAAGGTAATGATGGATTTTTCACGTCAAAGTGAGCGATTCTTTAAAATGCCAGAGCTGATCAGGGGCCTCATTTATAACGCCGTGCGTAGGATTCACGTGGGAAGGTTGCTTACGTAGTAGAAATCCAAAAAATAGGTACAGAAATGTTCCGACATTTTCCAATTCACCAAACATTGCGTACCGGCGAGGAAAGTGCGTACAGCACTTCCTACGCCGGTTTCCCTTTATAAATCACAACCGACTCGAAATGCGGTGCAGCTTTTGCGGGCTTCACGTAACGCCCATATTTGCCTATAAATAGTCAAAGAAACGCCCATTCATTCATTCATTCTGACTGACTTTATGAAGAAGATCGCAGGAAATGACGACAGAACAGCTAAAAAAGACATCTCACACCGTGTCAGATTCTGGTTATTTTGGGGAGGTCGAGATAAATCATATTGTTTGGTGAATGCAGTTTGAACAGGGGAGCAGCATGGAGGTCGGATCTTCACCAAAATAAATAAATAAATGGCCCGAAAAAAGGTTAATGACAAAAACAATACACATCCTTCCTCAGGCAGTGTGTTTGTACCGGGGACAGGAGACACCCCCTTGATTAGAAACTGTAAGAAGTGATCGGGGAATCCCCCCGGTGTGGAGTCATGACGACTAGATCTGAATTATGTTTTTGTATTTGGTGGTTTGTGTCCCAGCTGTCGATCAGCTGTGCGCAGCGGCTCCACTGCAGCCTGTGTCTCAACCCCCCGCAGCAACCCTATATCCACCAGTTAGAGGAAATACAACAATGTGTTGTGTTATATTAGCTGCACAATTGACCACATATGGTGTTCTTAGCTTCCATACCTCCTGTGTTTTATGAGCGACTTATCAAGTCTTGGCAAACGGCATAAAACACGATTAAACATGATAGTATATAAAACCATGCTCGTATCTACAACCTATAGAAATGCAAAACGGCGTCAGTTTAGACGTAATTCTGTCCTCCTGCTTACCGCATCATTTATGAGAAAACATTTCATAACATTAACACAACATATTCGAGATGGTTTTAAATAAAATATCCGTATTTATTTATTTCTCCAAGTTATGTTTTTGTGTGCACTGAGGAGTCTCAAACAAGCGTTTGTTTCATCATTTTAAGATCAGCTTTAATCAATGTTTGAAAATGAATTCTTCATATATGATAAATGAGAGGTAACATTTTATTTATGGTATTATTTCCACATATTTCTCTCCATTCTTCCTTCTGCCAACGGTGTCGCAGTTTCTCGTCTCTCCCGTTGTTGTGCTTAGTGCGTACGCATGGGTTAGAGTTTGCGTGGAGGACCGCACATTTTCCCGTCAAGTTAGTATTTTATAAATCGCAAATATTGCGTAGAAACTGGCGTACGCCATTTTTTTGAGCGTATACCCCTTTATAAATGAGGCCCCTGGTCTTTTTCAGAACTTGAACTTTATGGGACGGCGATATGAGGAGGTGGGGGCGGAGGCGCCTGGACCCCAGGGGCCCAGACTGCAGCATATTTCCCACATTTGTCAGCTGTGCGCGGCTCCTGAAGGAAATTGCTCATATGTCTGGGAGAGAGGAGCTCTTGAGGGTTACTATACTGTAAGCACTGCTCTGTACTGTACATCTGGAGCCACTCACAACCTGCTTACTGGAAATGATGCATCTGCAGTGATGGAGGGAAACATGCAGTATATGTGATGGTAGGGTTAGATTTGTTTTAAGGGTATTTGGTTTGTGTTAGGAGTTTTTCACATATCTCCATTGCGTCTTATGAATGTACTCTCTTTTTAACTGTTTGTAAATGAATACATTAATTATATTGACATAGTGCATGTTCTCTCATATGTTGCAGCAAACATCTTAGTTTAAAGTTGTTGTGTTTGTGATTTGCATAACCTTTTTATATTTTACCTCTTTTTTAAGTTGCTTTTTAAGATTTTGCAGAGATTAAAAAAGAATAATAATAATATTTAAAAAAACATAGAAAAAAAGGACTTTAAGGATATAGTAAACGGATATATAATTAATACTAATCGAAAATTAATTAATTGTCACATAATACCAGAGGGATATTAGTAATGTTTTGTGTTCTATATTTCACATCTATCATCAAACATATGAACTAGATTTGTTATTCTCATGGTTATCTGTTCCATTCTGTATAAGTCATTTACTAGATTCCTCCATTTTGAATTCATTGATTTATCATCTTTTAACCAAGTCCTTGTTAGTACTATATGTACGTTTTTTTCTAGTTATTTTACTTGTATGTCTTTATTATTCTTTCTGTCCCTTTTTTTCTATATCTCTTTGCATTTTGTCCTCTGTTTTTCTCTGTCTTTGCATATGTATGTCTTTGGCCTCTGGCTGCAGTCGTAGACTTGTGGTTTGGTTCTTTTCCAGACACCAGCATGCGTTGACCGGCTGAGCTCAAACCTGCTTCTCATCAGCACCACAGATGAACCGATTGCTCATTTTCTTGCACGTTGCATTCAAAGAATGACTCGTTATCTCCTCACGCTCAATTTCAGAGCCGTGCTGATCTCATTGGTGGATTCGGATCAACACCGACTGTGAATGTTTTATCAGGAAACCTGAGACATTGCGCCGTTAAACATCTCGCCAGATATTTCTGAGTCATATGAGGGAACCTCTTCTATCAAAACACTGAGAGGCCTCCTTGATCCTACACTTCCTCATGGTGAACATTTCTCACAGTCTCAATGCTGAGTCTAAATGAAACGTAACACTTGAGGATTGACATTATTATGGTTATCAGTACAGTTATTCCATATTAATACTGCACTAATCATTGTGTTTGTACTTACAATGGATCATCTGACTATGTGTCAAATGTATCTCATGTAATGACAAAACAGCAGACAATTATCACCCAGCCTTCGAGCGTTTAAGCTCATTGTTTTGGTTTTCGGCCCAAAATCTCCGGCCTGATCCAATTTGTTTTGAAAAGCGGTAGAGCTCTGTATACTTCCTGTCCTGCATTATTGTTGGTCTTCTGCGTCAAATGCACTTGTTAGTTTTAAGCAGTTTAAGTCACCCTCTTCCTGTTTTTAGTAGAGTTCTAGTAGACTAAAAGTTTGGACATTTCAATCATATCTAAGTTGAAGAAAACTCACACTATGCTCCTAGTGAGTATCTTTTCAGAGTAGACAGGCCAATCGACCATCCAATTACCTTTTAGTTTTGTTCGGATTTAATTATTGGTAGCGGTCTTGTGACAGTCGAGATTTGTTCTCCATTTTTATAGAGCTTTTGAAATTTAGATTTTATTATGGATGTTAAGAGTAACCTCTGAACTCGAGGTGTTTAATGGTTTGAACAATTATTTTAGAAATTATATTTTTGAAATGAGATGTGGTTACCTGTGAGGAGTAGATTAGCCTGTAAAATGAATAGGATTGCTATTGGATAGCATTAACTTTAAAGAACAATGTGAGAAGTACCTGCACTACATTTCAGAATGGTGTGACCTCTACTATCAGCTATGTTTGGGGATGAGTTTAATTGTTAGCCTAGAACAAAAAGTAACTAAGTAGACAAAATTAAAACACTTGTTTATTTACCTAAAATGTCCATCCTATTCAATCTTACATTTAAATCTTGTTTATTTTGAGGCAGATGAGGGTGTGCATATCTGTGTATCAGCTCTGAAGCACAACCCTGCATACTGTAGGGATACAAATCTGTCTGTACAGAATGTAAATAAGCCTGTCTGGACCCACTAGTTTGATTGGATACATTCCTTCAGCCAGAACATTACACAAGAGACAACTGTCACATGACCGAGCTGCTATGCACTTTTGAAAAGCCTTTGATTTTCCTTTATATGGGTGAAAAATGACTGTAATCTAAAACTCTGAATGTGCTGTTAATAGTGACGGTGTATCAGACGTAGAACTGTTTTTATAACTCCGTATATAGTAATAATATGACTTGCCACGAGGGAGTCATACTGTCACTCACACTTCAGCACGGGCTGTTGTGGTGTCGAGTTTTACCCATTAATTACACAACTGACAACATCTGTGACTCCCTAAGGAGAGAGGTGAGAGGGGCTGACACCAAATATCTTTGTGTCCAACTGAACAGTGTGGGGTCCAGTTCAATGGCAGGGCATGTAGCTTCACTAACCCTGGTAACTCTGCAAATATCATATTACGTCCAAACCTTTCCTTTGCCATGCCTCATATCTGACTGTGATAAGGTTGTTCTTGAAATTCATTTCACTTCCTTCATTATCTTTTTGTGCTTTTGGAGCAAACAGTGGAGATAAGCCTTTAAAAGATCATTCAAAAAAGACAGTCCAATAAGCCGAATGAAGCCTTTTATGGGAAATGTGCAGCTGGAAGAGAACAGAAGATAAGAGATGAGTTCCTACCTCGATGGTCTGCGCCGTGACTCCATGCTCTTTGAAGACTTTGTTGAGCCCTAAGAAACAAAGAAAACACAAGAGCTTTAACAGAGGCCTATGCATATGACTTTGAAAATATCAAAAGTAATATTTTGATATTCGGGTTATTGATATAACTATCAAAAGTGCTTGATAATATATAAATAGGGTAAAAATACATTAAAATAGAATATCTGACAAACAATAGAGCTTATTGGAAACCACCTTAGAATGGACGACTTCCTTCACCACCATTTTTAACAGTTCTTTATCAGTTTTAAGCTACACCAAAGCTTCCATATATTGTCATAACGCCAATAAAGTCACCAATAGTTCCATGATTGTGGATGTGCAGGGTTTATACAATAAGGCCGTCCCATAACCAAACTGTTCTTCAATTACACCACAAGTTCGATTTTCTTTATGTTGTTGAAGTATAGCTGTAAGGGTAACCATGCCTAGGGTACATCATTTCAAGATGTATGAGTTACAAAAGTTATGATGACACATTCCATTTGAGTTGGCGTTGAACATCTTCAACAAAGCATTAATCAATATGAAATGAGTGATCAAGGTCAAACTCATGTAGGAACTGGAATGCAGAAACTGGAGGATAAAGGAGAACATGTTAGTATTGGAAACGCTCCGGTCTCCATTTGCAGTCGGTTTGTAGTCCAAGCTGTATTAACAGCAGTTTGAGCATGTTTTGGTTGAATGCAGGTCAACAGTTTGTGCGGAGAGCAAAAAAGGCCATATGCATTGACATAAATGCTATCTTGGAACCCATTGACAGGCTTTTATTACCTTAACATTTGCTTTTAAACTTGCTTATTTTTGAAAACAATCCAGTTTTAGACGTCCCATCTCAAATCAAATCAAATCTTATTTATATAGCACATTTATAAACGATTTTTGATCGAGCCAAAGTGCTAAATCTCAACTCCAACTCCATTCTAGCATCGTAAGTTGTCATGAGAAGCAGCTGCAAATGTGGTAAATCAGACCGTAAACAATGAGCGGCACACGGAAGTCTTGGCCCGATATCTGCTGGCAACAGGATAATGGACAGCCAACAAACACTCATCCAACCCTAACCCTAGTTTGAAGTTGTATTCAGAATGGCAAGGTTATTTTGCTTGACTTTACATCCAAGGCCACATTTTAGACAAGGTATGCAAAGTGCACCTTGTGAGGCATGTCGTATACACTGGGTGTTAGGATCCCGTCACATGGCACCCATGCAAAGTTAAGCAGAGACCCTTGCAGAGGAAGTTTTGGCTCCACTATGCCTCGTTTCCCTCGCCTCCCCCTCAAACGAGCTCAAGGAGGGGTCAAAGGCCATGTGGACTTGTTCACTCCCCTGTGGTGATTGGGTCACATGTACACAGGAGGGGGAACAGGGGAGGGGGAACAGGGGAGGGGGAACAGGGGAGGGGGAACAGGGGAGGTGCAAAGCACTGATAAAAGTGTGGAACTACACCACAGAAGACACGTGCAGCTGTGGATCAGTGCAGACAATGTCCCACCTACTGGAATGTGCCAATGCCCCCCGGTGCAGTACAGAAGACCTGGCAGAACCTACCCCACCAGCTGTGGCCTGTGCCCGATACTGGCAGAACGACATCTGAGATTGCTACGGACTCGAAGAAGAAGAAGAAGGAGGGGGCTGTTATCCATCATCATCCATTAGATCACCCTGGCTGGCTGGGCATCGATGTGAGGAGCACCGCTCGCTTCCTTGGATGACTTTCAGCCTGCTGTGCCAAGCTGTCTGTCAGTGTACACATTTACCAGAGATACCATCCAGCATATTAGAGTCTAGTAATCATGAGGGGACCCATTCCTGGATAAACTTCCAATGATGTGTTAATGCATCCCAAAAGGACCGTTTGCAGCTGCTTCTCATGACATATGTGCTTTCCCCAAGTTTTGAAAAATCAGGCCTTAAAGGTGGGGTAGGTAAGTTTGAGAAACCGGCTCGAGATACACTTTTTGTTATATTCCATGGAATGCTCTTAACATCCTGATAGCAATGAATATCTGAAGTGCTTTGACAACAAATCCATTAAAAAAACGTCATCAGTGGAAGCCGTGGCGCTGTAAAAAGCACCACCAATCATCTGAGCCGGCCCGGCTAAAGTAGCTGGATGGCCTACCTGCCTGTCAGCCTTCCATCTGTGCACAAACTTATCTCGTGCCCTCATTGGTCATGTGCGCGTTCGTGTGAGTTGGAGGAGGGGCTCTGTAAGGAAGTGGCAGATTTTGCCAGATTCCGGCTGTGTATTTTCAAATTCTAGAGCACTCGAGCTGGTTTCTCCAAAATTACATATCCCACCTTTAACCGTAAAAACTAATAATTCAAAGTCAGCTGTAAAAGGCTTGGGAATTCCTCAGGTTGTTCTGCTAACTATTTAGCAAAAAAAGTTGAAAATATTTGTGCAACTCATTTTGTCTTGAATTAAATCTATTGGCACTAACCACCATCTTAAACTGCGCTCCAGTAGAGCTATTGAACCGGATGATTAGGAGATTGAAAGACAAATAAATCTCCTAATCATAGAAATCAGGCAGGATTATCCAGCATTTGACACCATTTCTTGTTTGGGAGCAGGCAAACAATTGTAATTGTTACTGGGGCCAAGCACTACAGTATGTGGTCCCAGTTTGGTACCATCTATTTCCTGGGGGAACAAAGTTAGACTCACAGTAGTAACAAGAAAGTTTGCTGAGGTTGATACTTGACATGTTTTGACAGTATATACCAGTGTAATGGCGCAAGCCTTCCTGCATTTGAACCATTTCTTGCAGAAATGCATACATTATAAAATAGCTAAAGTTCCCATATAACACACATTGGTTTAATTGCTGTACACATTCTTAGAGGGACTCAATGGATACCGATACTACAGGTACAAATGCAGACATAAACATATCAGATGAGAGTTTTTGCCAATTCCTTTTCTGTCCAAGAAAATCCAACTCATTCCAACAAACTCTATGCAGCATTCATTTGCTCCATCTTACGTTCACTCATATAGGTCCGTGTCTCAACTGAGGGGACACAAAGCAAATCCCCCATTTTCTGCCTGAGCTTCAGCCTAAACGTTTCAGTATGTTGCCAGGGGCTATAAAGAGCAGAGTCGCCAAAAAGAGACAGAGATGAATGAGCAAGAAACAGCCTTAAGAGAGTCAGACGCAGAGCATGAGGAGGGTTAACAGCGCTGTGGGACTTATTGGGCATGAAAGTCAGGGAAAGCCCAAAGCTCTCTTAAATGGACCGCTGTGAGGTGATCACAACATCTTCACATGATGCTAATGACAAGGTTAACATGTCCGAGAAATGCGGTTTATTAAATGGTGCCACCACTTCAACCAGCATGCAAACAAATATCCTAATTAGAGACTGTCGGAGAGTTTTGAAGAGATGGTGTTTATATTGTGCCACAAAGATGGCAGTTAATTGATCGTTTTTCCTTCAAATTAGTCTGAATTGGTGTGCAGGGCATTTCATGAGCCACAATATGTATGTAAGACTGCAACCATCTGGGAAAATGTAAATGTGACAGGGAAGCTATGCTCGGTAATAAAACACTGTGGTCATATTGATGTTTTTGTCGTTGAAGAACTGGAAGAAGTCGTGATGTTCTGAGTATTGTGATTCTATGAATGGATTGTACTGTGGGGCTAACATCAATGGATCTATTTCTAATTGCTAAGTAGAAAACACTAGCTTCTGAACATCACACATACCAAAGCCTGAAACCTGTTACTTTCCTTTGAGAACTTGTGTTCGGAAGGAGAGGGTGGGGGTGAGGTAGCGGGTGAGGAGGACGGTGGGGGAGGAGGTGGGAAATGGAGTGGGGGGTCCAGCAGGCCTGTTTCCAGATGAAAACCATCTGCGGAGGTTGACTTTACAAGCAGGCCATTCAAATTAACCATCTGAGAAAGAGCGAGGGAGGGAGGGAGGGAGGGAGGGAGGGAGGGAGGGAGAAAGACGTTGGGGGCTGGTAAAAGTCTGCCAAAGACTCGAGTGAAACTGTTCTATAACAAAGAGAAAAAACAAGCGATGAAGGAGCGGACAAGGAAAGAACAAGCGACATGACCCGAGTTGAGTAAATCCATCCAAACATTAATTCAGTCCATGGCGTCCTACCTTTCGGAAAAGGTACCCTGTACTCCATCGCCATGCCCCCCTCAGAGAGGAGAGCCGCCTTCTCAAAGACCCTCCTCGGTTCATCTTTGAAGAGCTGCCTCACACTGCTTTCTGTGCGGCAGTGAAGTTCCCCCGTCAAACCTCTCCCTTCTCTCTGACAGCGGCAGAAGAAAAACGAAATCCCCAAGGTCTCTATTTTGGGCAGTAGCCTGTAGAGTCCATCTGCATGCTCCACTCGGACCGGACTCCTCCACAGCTCCTTGTCTCTGGCTTGTGTCCGCTCTGCCTGTGTGTTGGTCACCCTCCCCCCTCCCACTCAGCCTCCCGTCGTGTTATCTCTCCCCCCTCATATTCAACTTTTCCCTCCCCTCCCTCTCCCTCTCATCTGTGTACAGATCTAAATTGCGACTGCAAACCCTTTCCGTCTCTTTAGGCAAACATGTGGGTATGATGCATGTTTATACACACACAAACATCAGCTGACTGTGTGTGTGTGTGTGTGTGTGTGTGTGTGTGTGTGTGTGTGTGTGTGTGTGTGTGTGTGTGTGTGTGTGTGTGTGTGTGTGTGTGTGTGTGTGTGTGTGTGTGTGTGTGTGTGTGTGTGTGTGTGTGTGTGTGTATTCAACTGATTTCACAAACTGCACTGAGCAATCTGAAACGTTCAATCAAAGTCAACGTTTCAGTTTTTTCAGTGTGTGCACTTCGATTCTGCTTTTGAAGAACTAAGACCTTTTACCAAGATGGTACTGTGTCCTTACTTTTTAAGGTACAGTTTATAATGAAACCTTCTGATTTAATAATAAACTAGAACCAGCCCTCCGACAAAGCCAAATCTCTTTTCTCGTAACCTTTACTTAAATAAAAAGTCATTTGTGTGTCCTATCG